AGCTACACATCTTCAGATATTCATTTACATACAGGTGTTAATTTCATTACCTCCTTCAAGCAATCTTATATTTGGATCAGGTATTAGTAATAGAGACAAGTGTGGCCTTCTTGACAACCTTCTGTTACTGACCCTTCACTGTAGTGTTGTGAGAGTGGTGTGAGTCAATAAATAAGGAAGAGAGGGTGGCGGTTTTTCCACGCACAGTGTGAAAAAAATAATCGCAGTATGGTGTGGAGATAGAGCAGATGCCGCCAGAGATTGATCATGAATCAGGAAGCTCATTAGCCCCGTGCGTTGAGTTTTCTTCTGGATGCATCACAAATTCATTATTTCCTCACTGCGTCCGGACTCGGATCAGAAGCCCCCTTCTCCCCTTTACTTTCCCTTCTCCAAGCTGGAGAACTTGTGGATAGAGGGAGGGAGGGAGGAAGACAAATTTGCTCTCGGAGTACACACTCATTTGGCTCTCCTGAAACCGCGCACCTCCCCTGAGCTCCAGTGAGAAATGAGCATTGATTGACAAATCAGCGCTGGAAGAGAAACTCTTCGAGCTCGAGCTGGACCAAGTCTGGCTCTAGGACTTGAGAACCGCAGGGGTTGTTGGGAGGGAAGAATGTAAAACAGTGGCCAAGTGAGGAGGTGATGTCTGTGTGTGCAAGTCGGCGACTGGGGCGAGCAGAGAGGAATCGCGGCTCTGGATCTCTTTCTTCACCCGGCCCGCGTTTGCAGTGGAAGCCCCAGACCTGGCTGGGAGTCTGTGAGAGCATAGCCATCCAGCCCCTGACTGCCTGACTTTACTCTACCGTAGCCTTTGTAAACATACAGGTTATAACATTATTTTCATTAACCAGTATCAGAGGGAGAGGCTAGAAGAAAAGTACGTGCAAAGAGAAGGAGAGTGAGAAAGCGGAGGGGCAGGAATGGAGAAGAGAGGGAACCCTAGACCCGCTGTGCGGAGCTGCCTGGTGACTCCAAGCAGCGTCTGAAGTCCAGTGTCCTCAATTAGGATATGGCTCCTTCCCAGATTAGATTACAAAGGAAGGCAGCCAAATAACTACCCCGCTTGGTGCTTCGATTTGGCCCTTGCCCCACCTCCACTCTCCTGCCTGTTTCTGTATTTTGAGTCAGTTAAACTTTTAGCTAATAATAAAAATATTTTTATGAGTGGGAAGGAAGTCTGGGTTCAGACTGGAAAGTCGGGGACCACCTGATGCGTCCCGAGTTCAGGGTCAAGAACAGACTCTCACGTATGCCAGGGTTCACCTCCCTGTGTCAGGTCTTGAGGCTGGGAAATCAAACATAAGGGTTAAAAACTCTTAGGCAATTGTCAAATGTGAAAGAAAAAAAAATCAGTCTATCTAGAGATTGAAGTCCTGATGCCTAGGGCTTTTAAATTTAGAATTTAAAAAGAAAACAATTATTTATAAATAAAATACGAATACCTTACAAGTCAGGTAAGGTCAAATAGCAAACTATATATATATATATATATATATCAATGCTGTGTAAACAGGCTCCAGGCTAAATTACACAGTGAGAGCTAACAGAGAGAATGAGTTTGTTAAAAAGAATCTTTCGGAACTGTCCAATTTCAAACTGCACCAAGAAAAATAAAGAAAAAACCGGATATGCTTTTCATAAGTCCATCCTCCCCAACAGTTAGTGTTACTTTCTGGTGAGACTTGGATTCCACAGTGTACCATTGTTCCAGATCGGGACGCTCAAGGATCTTCTGTCCTGTTTCCCCCCAAGTCCCTGAGACTGACTCATTCTGATAATGTTCTTCTCTGGGTGACTTTTATTTGATATAGAGTCCTGCTGGCTGCTCTTGCAAGAGGCCTGACAGTTGATTTCTGTTTTAATTGTTTCCTTAGCATAGCTCATAATGAGAAAAGATATTTTCTCTCCTAAAACGATAGGAGGTACACACTTCCCAATACATAGACCCCCTCATCCACCACGTTTACACTTGCACAGGTGCATATGCGCATGCACACACGGGCACACAAACCCATGGACACACACACACAGGCGAACACACGTCGCCGACCTGTCCTCCCTTTCTTTGTTCTCTCAACTCATAAAGCGCTCTGCCTTGGCAATTGCCGTGCCACGCTTTTGAGGAAAGGCCTTGCTAGGGTGATGGCTTTTCCATGACTCTGAAGGCTGCGACTCTGCGTGTCAGCCAACTTGGGGTTTCTTTCTCTCTTATGCCCAGGAGAGGGTCGACACCCCTTCTCCAGGGGCCAGGGCCGGGGTGGGCTGCAGTCTGCGACCCACTGTTCCTGAGTGGGGATAGGATTAGCTGGTCCTGCGTGGACTGGGCGCTTGAGCCAGATTCAGCGCAAGTCCGGGGCGGCGAGCGGCGGCGCGGCTCTGTAGCTGTGGTTCTCCGTAGCCAAGACTGAGGGGCGAGTGCCCTTGTCCTGCCCAGGGCGCCCCGCACACACTTGGATTATTTCTTAGACAGATATTCTGTCTGGCATCGCGGATGTCGGTAAGGCCAAGCTTTCCATTTTGTCGACTATGTCACCAGTCCCCGGCTGTCCGCGCGTTCTGGAGTCTGCTGCCAAGGGTAAAAGCAAAAGAAGTGGAGGAGGAAAAGGAGGGCTCGCTGCAGTGTGATCCTTAGAGCGCCTGTGGGCCTGTGCAGTCAGTCCTTCCTAAATCAGTTTGAGCTGTGGGACGTATAAAAGGACAAAAACTCATCTACAGAGTAGGCTTCACATCAGAATCCGTGTTTGTCCCTGGCAGTTTCTGGGAACGAGCAGTTCCCCCTGCCCTGGCAGCGGGGCCCAAGTAGGCCTTGGAGCTCGGGCAACTCCACCCCGGGGCCGTAGCGCCGCCAAGTCTCCAAGGCTGCAAGGGCGACTCCGAGGAGCAAGCGGGTCGCTCCTCCTTCAGGTCAACAAGAGCCTGGGCCCCGGGCGGGGCGCTTCTCAGGCAGCTGATTAGGGCTTCAGGCGCCCTAGCCCTACAGAGCTTCGGACTTAGACTCCTGCCAAGTCCACCCCCACAACCTCATCCCACTCTCACTCCCAGCCCAAGCTCTCCGCACGGCCTCTCTGCGGTCTGCCGCCCGCGTCTGCCTTGGGTCAAGCTTCAGAAACAGGGTTTACGCTTATTTTTTAGGCTATGATATACGCCTGGGGTACTGCGGAGATTGGAGGTCCACCTATGACCCGACAGCTCCAAACCAGTCGAAAAGCCTTAAAAAAATGCAAAGCAATTTCTTCCAGTAGAGTTTGTTTCTCAAGCGTTTAAAAGAGCTCTCCTCAGTAAGGAAATTACAGTCGTTTTTGACCCTAAGGTTTCTGGACCTGGCTGGGTGGTGTGCACGTGCCTCTGGGCACCGTCTGCTAGGTTCCTGCTCCTGCTGCGCTGTCTGGACTCCGAGGAACTGCGCGTTCCCTCTAGCTACGGTAAAAAGATAATCTCAGAGGCAAAGCTACTCCCAGAAGCTACTCTACTGAAAGTTTACAGAAGAAGTCCAAGGTAATCGCGCAGCCAATGGTTGTGGAGGTTGAACTGAACGAGGAAGAGGCAAAAAGCAATCTTTTGTCATGTATTTTATACCGAAGATTAATAGTAATGCGTATTATTAATTTTATTCTACATGAGATTTATTCTATTCACGCCAAACATATTTTTTGTTAATCCTAACAAAATGTCGAATTGAAACTACAAAACAACTGTACGTATACATGTTGGTATCATTCAATTAAAAAGCTCTACCTTCTTTTGAATTTGTTTTAAAGAAACAAGTTGAATCCTTAAAAGCCTAAGATAAATGTGGTAAATTGTCAAAAGCAGGACAAATACAAAGTTACGTTAAATCGCAGAGAAAAAATTTTAGTGGGGAATTTTATTGCGTCTTAAAACTTATTTCACTTTGAGAAGTTTTAAAATTATCCATATCATTAAAGACATACAGAATGACAATCCCTTGGCTTACGTTTTAAAATAATTGACCTCTTTGAAAGAAAAGGGAGGCTCTGGAAAGGGCATGATTTCTCTGGCTAGTTTTTAAGAGGGACTTAGCGTTAATGTAACATTTTGCATTCCTAAGTATGAAGGATTTAAATATTTTTGAACCCGTCTCCCTCAAGAAAAACCTCACAGGAGTAAAACTTAAATAAGCCTAGTGCCATAGCAGATGAAAAGTGGGTGCTACTAAACTCAGGAATGTTTAAATGAGAAAGGAGGAGCCTTGTAGCTGTGAATACTCCACACCTCCCCAAATGTTCCGAGTTGTAGTAACATTAAGTGATATGGAAATGGGACGGGAATTTAAGGTTCCTTGAAAGATTCTTGATATTCTAACTTGGTGAACGTCTGGGTTTGAAGCCAGAAGCCTCCGCCTTTCTAGGTCCTGGGGAGGAAAGCTGGAGACTCCAGGGCTAGACTGGGATATGGGCTGCAAGACCGACTGGGTTCAGAGCGCGTGGGACTGGCACATCCAAGCCAGACGGCGGCGCTTTTCACTCCTGGTTTTTCGCAACCATGTAAGGAAGTGGGCGCGGGCTGCACGGACTCAGCGCCTCTTGATTGGCCGGCCGTCTCGATGATTGACATGGCCCCAGGCTCCGCCCACGCCGCTTTATTGACACTAATGAGCAAGTTCTTCCCACCGCTCTCCTGCCTGGAAGTGCTGACAGATGAAGGCAACAAATTTCAATTACAGTCCCTAATTTGTGTCCACAGAGTGTTTTTTTACCCATGTTAGTCCTCTCTGGAGCATCAGTCGAGGCAGATCTTGGAGCAGCAGGAGGAGGTGGAAGGGGTGGGAGCGAAGGAGTCCATCAGTGAGAGCGCGCGAGAGACCGAGGGAAGGAAACTTGGCGGGCGCGTCGCTGGTGCCTCGGATCCCAGCACGAGCGAGCGAGAGGAAACACCAAATTTATTTTTTGCCTGCGACGGGGCAGGGGACAGATCTCGGGAGGCCCCGAGAGCGGTTCGATTTTTGGTGGGGAAGAAAAGCGAGTGCGTGCGTGTGCCCGCGTGGGTGTATATGAGAGAGGGGCGGGCGGGCGCCGGGCGGCGGGGATGGCCGAGAAGCGGAGGGGCTCGCCATGCAGCATGCTAAGCCTCAAGGCGCACGCCTTCTCCGTGGAAGCGCTGATCGGCGCTGAGAAGCAGCAACAGCTTCAAAAGAAGCGGCGAAAGTTGGGCGTAGAAGAGGCGGCCGGGGCCGCGGACGACGGAGGCTGCAGCCGCGGCAACGGCGCGAGCGAAAAAGGCTCCTCTGAGGCAGACGACTGCGCTGCGCTCCCGCTGCCGGCTGGGGCGGCGTCCGCGCCGGCCCGGAGCTGCGCAGACCTGGAGCGTGGAGCTGCGGGTGAGTTGGCCCCTTCCCGCCTAACTTGTCCTTGCCGCGTCCCTTCCTGGGTCCCGCCGGCCCACACTGCCGCCGGGAACCTGAACTTCTGCGAGTCTGTGGGTGTGCGTGCGCGCAGTGTCCCTACGTGGCCGAGGCAACTCAGCCACGAGCGCATTGGCCGTGGGTGTCAGGCGCAAAGCTCGCCGCGCCACCTGGTCACCTCCAGACGCTTAAAATGCCGCTTCCAGACTCGCCTCGCAGGCTGCCGCCGCCCACTCGGCTACCAGCGCCTGCAGCCGCAGCAGTTTGCGGCGCAGCTGTGTGCTTCCTGCATCTGCCTCCCTTGGGGTTCCAGCCAATGGGTGCTCTTTTTCTATCCTAACTTTTAAAACCATGGGGCGGGGGTGGGGGAGCGACGGCATAACCCCCCCGAAACCGGAACGGATGCCCTAAACCGTTTGTGCAAACCAGGAAGAGGGCGGCGTATTTGCAAACGTGGTTTCCCGGGGGTAGCTGAGCCGTTCCCTTCCCTTCCCCCTAGAATCCTGCCAAGGCCGACGGCGACCGCGGGCTTGCTTTTCACGCTCTTCTAGTAGCTTCTCTGCTTGGCTAGAGGCGTAGGCCGGCCGGGGAGTTTGGCGGGAACAGAGTCTGCAGAGTCTTTTAAGAGGATGCCTCTGGTCGGGCCCAAAGCGAGGCGCCTCAGACGCCTGTAGCGAAGGGAGGCCCAGACTCTTGGGATCAGAGTCCCGGACGCCCGGCGCGTCTGCTGCGTGCGTTTTGGGGCGCTGGTTGTGTCCGGGGCTGCACTGGGGACTCTGGACTGTGGAGCTCATCTCAGACTCCGTCGGGCACGCGTCCCAGACCCTGGCGGCGGCGTGACACCTCTTATGCTGGGGCCTTTGCCCCGCGGAGGCCCAGTGGGTGCGGTGGACGCGGCCTGCGCGCCTCTCGCGGGCTCGGGACTTAGGGGCCCGACAGACTACACTGTCTTAACGACGGGCCTGTTCGTTAGAAGGACCCAGTGGCACCAGAGCTTTCCCTCTTCCTCCCGGTCATTTTCCTCTCCCCGGCCACCAGCCGAGACGGTCCGTCTCCGCGTCCCGCTTCCGCTCTGGAGCTCTCACTCGTTTCCCTTCTCTGTCCTCTACTGTCCAGGCGGCTGTGAAGATGGCTTCCTGCAGGGCGCTTCCCCTCTGCCGTCCCCGGCAGGCTCCCCGAAGGGGTCCCCGGCTCCCGCCCTGGCCCCACCCGGGACCCCGCTGCCCTCGCCGCAGGCTCCTCGGGTGGATCTGCAGGGAGCTGAGCTCTGGAAGCGCTTTCACGAGATCGGCACGGAGATGATCATCACCAAGGCGGGCAGGTAAAGGGCGAGCTGGCGCAGAAGCCACCCCTCCACCCCTGGCACCCTCGGCCCTGGCCTCACTCCACCCCCAGTTCAAAGGATACGGTTAGGAAGAAGGGCCTGCAGCGCGATGGGGGCTCTGGTTAGAATTTTTGGACTGGCGGCACAAGGCCTGGGAAGGGGGTTCACTTTGCAGGCTGGCTTTGCATATCTACCACGAGTGCAGTCAGTGAGGAGAACAGCCCGACCTCTCTCTGGTTGAATGCTAGGGAAAAAATTACTGTCGCTGCCGATGCTACAGCTATCGCCGTTGATGTTCCGTGTAGTTGAAGAGTTGAGGTCATATTTACAACAGTCCAAGCATTTATTTAGGCTCTAGTTATCAGTTCTGGATTTAGGGAACAAATTTCATTTTTTTTCTTTTCCTTTTTTATTTTTTTTAAACACAGTTAACTCTTCAGTAAACTATGGTTTGCTTTTTCATATTTGAAACTTCCAGGCTGGTTCATTATCAAAAGATTTCCTCGCAATATGAAAACAGGAAGGGTTGTGCTATTTTTATATTAAAGTAGGATAAAAAGTCACTGGAATCACCCGTAATACATGTTAAATACTGTATAGCTGCAAGAATAATTACTCGATTTTTAAAAAAACTTTCCTGTTTATAGATTCACAGTGCCTGGTTAAATTTTTTTCCTGAAGTGGAATCCAACACATTAGCCTGATTTGCTGAAGAATACTAAAAAAAAAAAAAAAAAAAATAAGACATTATATCGGTTTTTTAAAAGTGTGAAATTTGCACTTTCCTCTGTTAGCAAAATAAATGAATTTGTTGGCCAGATCATATTAATTTGAGGTAGATGCAGAAATATTTGCATTTTAAAGTTTTCAGTTCATTTAGTGCAATGCAATCTGAATAATATGCCTCCTTAAAAGGAACATTAGTTAGAAAGCACACACAATTCTTTCAGGGAGTACACATGGTAAAAACCTGGATAGCATAAAAGTATCCAAACTTATTAGAAATTACAAAAACATATTTTATTGAATCCATATGCTACCTTCTACATTTTCACAGAGCTTTTATTAATGATCCAAATTCAGTCTTCAACAACACAAAGCAACAATTGTCTTATAAAGGATGTAGTTAAAGACCTTTACTCTTTATCTTACAGGTGCACTGAAATAACACTAAAACAGCCAGCATATTAAACTGTTCTCATGCCTAGTTAGGAATAATGGACTTTCTTTTCTCTGGAAGTGGTCTTTAATAGTATTATTGTTATAGAAAAAAATGGTAAATAACAGTACTAAAATTTGTGTTATAGGTTAAATTAGCAAAAATTAGATTAACTGGAAAGGTCCTAGACATAAATCATTAGATGAAAATTTTTTAAAAAAGAACTCCTGAATTTGTTTTTCATATACAATTATTCACTGTTGTATTCTTTGCTGCTGTGCCTTTTTAAAGAGATAGGTGCATTTACTTTAGTATCTCCTTTGATATACATCTCTGGGAAGCCAAAAGAAATGCAGATTTTCACTTGTTTTAATTAGCAAAGTTTTGAGTGTGAGATTAAATTGGAAAGCATTTTCCAGGTATGGTGGGGAAAGGAATGATTTGGTAAATATACATTGTGTTTAGTTTCTGCTTTCAATAAAGAAGTTTTACTATACCTTTCAAATTTAGAGCAACTTTTGCACTTCACCTTTACCATGCTGCAGACAGGAAGTCCTGTCTCAATAAAGAACATATTGTTTGGTTATAGCATGGCACATTGGCTCCTTGTGGTTTTTTATAACCCTTTTAAAGTTTCACATTATAATATATTTTATCACTTTCAGAAATTCAAATTTTTTATTTCTACCATTTGGTACATTTTATTATTTGTATTATTAAAGTAAATACACATTTTGTTTTAAAAAAAATAAAATGCTTTCTTTAGTGCTATTACTCTAGTGTACAATTCTTTTACTTTTAGCTATACTGACATTTCAGTAAACATGGAACACATGTACATAGGGTGCAACAAATTACATTTAAAAACCTCAGTTTTGATGTGTCCTATGTTCTGACTCCTTGAATTATATTACCAAAGTGAATGCTATAATTTTGCCATATTAAAAATAGAGATTCAGGAGGTTTCTTTGCTTATTCATTCTCCATGCTTAATCACAAACAAAAAACCCAAACCCTTTTTCTCCCCTCTCTTATAAATAGGCGCATGTTTCCAGCAATGAGAGTGAAGATCTCAGGATTAGATCCTCACCAGCAATATTACATTGCCATGGATATTGTACCAGTAGACAACAAAAGATACAGGTACGGTGATTATATACAGGGCGGTAAGAGAACTGCTAGGATTTTGTAGACTAGTGCTTGTTTGATCTGTGGGGACTGTGATCTTTGTTTCCAGAAGTCTATAGAATTTCCAGATCCATAATCCAACGCCCATGAGTTCCAGCAGCCCAGATGGTGCCTTCTCTTGTAGCAAAAGTGGAAGCTTAATTTTTGTTTGCTTTTAATAGATAAAGTAATGTTTTTAAGTATTAAGGGCTTTTAAATGGGGCTAGTGTGGTGTTGCTAAACTAAATGCATCTTTTATAATGGCTCACATGTCCCTTAGAATTTTGAAAGAAAATGTTATGTAAAGTTTGTAGATATAATTTATATTAAAGGATATGTTATATTTTCTTTGTGATCTTTTTGATCTTCACATAAATTCCCTTTATGTTGTTATGTTCAAGATCATGCCTGTAGCCTTTTTTAATTTAAGAAAATTATTTAAGTTTTCTACATGAAAGAAAAATAAAATCTTATAATTTATTATGATATTAAGATATCTCTAAACTGGTAGTTGATTGTTACCTTTCTTTTGTTTTTTAGCTGGTAGTTAATGTAATAACTTTTTAAAAACCTTTGTAATATGTGGATTTTGAAAGAGAATGTATTTATATAGATACGAAGTAAACTTTGAAAAGATACACATTCTTTAAACCAAACTTTGCTCTTTTTTTTTTCTGCAAGAACAAATCAGAAATTTTCAATGACACTGCTTTTATTTTTCTGAAGAGTTAAAAATGCTAACATTTAAATAAGGAGGTTTTAAGTGTTTGGAAGATCAGAAGATGCCATTTTAAATTTTGGTCATCTTTTGTTTCTTGTTTTTAAGGAACAGAGTGTTCAGTAAGTTTTTAAATGAAATCAGATTTGGTTTTTAACACTTTAAAAAATTTAGGGAGTTTTTTTGGAACAGGATTATGATGTCAAAAATACTCAGATTTTAATTAGTACATGAGCATATGAAATCCTACAAAAATGGGTAATGAAAAGGACAATTTTATTATTTGTTTTGTGTATAAGTTGTATTACTTTTTTTAAGTCACTATGGAGTTTTGCTAAAATTATCTACTGCATGATAGAAGCTAGAAGGCATTGAAGTTCATTCTTTAAATATACTTGTTTTAAAACCATGTCCCCTATATCTTTCTCCAGATCTTTCCCCTATATTTTGGATGATTTATTTTACTTAACCGATTCTTATTTACTCTCACAGAAAGCAGGGAAGTTTCACAAATTAATATTAAGATGCCATATTTTAAAATATCAAATTGTAAAACACAAATGTGCTTTCATTTACATTGCTTCCCAAGAAGAAATTTGTTTCTTGCATTTGTATTAGTATGTTCTGTAAAGAATGTGTAACATGTAGTATTTATTCTCTCAGTGGGTATGGAGTTTTGAACTATTCAACACGCATACTTTTTCAAGGTTTCGATAGAGCATATTACTCTATTTATTTTGGTAGTAACCCAATTCATTTCCACAGTGCAGTTTTTTTCTTGCATTTCTAAGATTTTCATTTTATTTTCCAACTTTTTCAGCAGTGTTAGAAAAAAATTGGCTTGTTCTTTATTCAAAGAGTGGTATTTGATCAAATTAAAAATGATTGTCACTTATTAGAATGCAAAATTAATATTCATAAAGGCCCACAGTTAGGAATTTATTTATTGAAATTACACCATACCGATTAAGGAAGGTTTTTTTAAAAAAACTTTTCTTAATTTTATGATATGTATTTCTTCTCAAGAAAGGGGAATTAAAGACATATTAAAAGAATTAAAGGCGTATTGAGCTTAAAATGAAATATGTGATCATAGTTGAAACAAAGAGACTCACCAGAGATGTTAAGAAAATGTTTCATGCTCTTTAAAAAAGAAATTTGTATACTACACAGAATTTTCTGAGACTATTTGCAAATTATTGCTTTAAACTGTATGCTATATTTTAACACACAAATAGAAGGGAAACATCTAAGTATGTAATTTTATTTTATACTCTTCATTGATTCACCAGTTTCTAGTTTTTTAGTTTATTTTAAATTAATATTAATAAATGGTAATCTGAATATAGGGTTAAATATTAAGATCTTATTTCTTACTTGAAATATTATTTAAATGTATATTCTTACTGAATATATTTGACATATAAACAAACAATAGACTGTCTCTTAATTAGAAAAGTAATATTAATTAGATATGCCATCATTTTCAAAGTTTGATTTATGTTATGATTAGCAGTATTTGAAAACTATTTGAAAGAATAGTCAAAAAAGAAATACAGGTGATAAAGACCTACATTTTATGATAGATAATACAGAATTTTTAAATTAAACTGAATACTTTGTCCTCAATATATAGTGTCATAGCATTAGAAAAAATAATTCCAAATGATAACAGATAAAACTTTTTTCCTATTAAAATAAAAGTTCCTAGAACTTTTGACAATTTCCTCTTGCCTTTCTACTGTCTATTTCATCAGCCTATACATAGCCTAAAATGGGAAGTGATCTTGAAGCAAGTAGAGGACACTTTAAGATATAACCCTCCAGTATTTTTGAGATTTACTTAAAGGTGGGCTTGACAGTGTAATAATTTCTTCATTTCAATTGAATATCCAGATGGAAAATGGAAAATATCAGAATACAGATGGAATGTCTAATGTGCATAAGTGTGATTCATAAGAATTAAGATACTTGTAGTTATGGTGGTGACAGTGTGCACATTTTTCACTAAGCCCTTAACATACCACTTACTCTGAGTTGCTAGTAAGCCATTGCTGCCTCAGAAAGTTTCTGAAAAATACTTGAAATCTTATTTTGGATGTCAAGAGGAAATCAATTTATTTTAGACCTGAAAAAAAAAAGAGTGCACATTTTGTCTGATTCTACTGAGTTGGAAATTTCAAGAAATGAATGGACAGTACACTGAGAGCCTTGTCATTACCTTCTAGGTATGTTTACCACAGCTCTAAATGGATGGTGGCAGGGAATGCTGACTCCCCTGTGCCGCCCCGGGTGTACATTCATCCGGATTCGCCTGCCTCGGGGGAGACTTGGATGAGACAAGTGATCAGCTTCGACAAGCTGAAGCTCACCAACAATGAACTGGATGACCAAGGCCATGTGAGTAGATGGCCTGTCCGATGCATCTCCACTGGATGGCACAGGCATATCTAACTATACTGTATCTGCCAGAAGGAAACAGACACTTCTAAGATCATAATATTCATTTCTTGGTTGATCAGCATGTGCATAGTGTGTACAAAATCCAGTTTATATTTGCATAGACTTTGCCTGTGAGGCATTTAATAGGTTAAAATTTAGATACTGCATTTCTACTGGAATGAAAGTACCCAATCCAGAGACTTTTTTAGCCAAAACATTTGTGTGAAATCCCATGAGGTGCTAATTATTATACTCTGACTATGAATACTTTGGAGTTGGGTTAACAGGGGTAATGATTTATTGTGTCCTGCCTGCGTCTAGCTCTTTTCCCAGCTGAGGCTCATTGCTTCTCAGTAATTGCCCAGGCTTATACTGTTTGTGTGTTCCTTCTGCAAGTTCCCAATTGTTTTGTAATAACATCTAATGTGTCAAATATGTTACAACAATAATTTCCTTTTATTCCTAAAACTGCTGAAACATGATACATAAGTCAAAGTTCAGCCATTTCAATAATACATTTTTAACACTTTATTAATTTTTATGCAATATTGTTCCTAGGCAAGATTTCTACATTATTATACATTATTATTTTAATAAATAAGTAACACTTATATACATGCTGATTTGTGTTCACAGCTAGCATTTTTGTTAGGTTTCTGTTATTTGAGTAGGTTTTGATTGCGGCAGGATCGTAATGCCTTTTGAAGAATATATCATACATAAAAGAAATACCAACTTGTTTATTTCTCAAAGGGTGACATAAAGATAGCATATTTATGAGAAAATCTTTTAAAACAAAAATGCAAACTATCACAAACTAGTAATATAGTGATGACAGGATATGGTTTGCAAGTTGCTAGACAATATCTTACGGCATTGACCTTAGTGAAAACATTCGAGTACAAATTTTGTTGTGGTACAAATGCAGTATCCAGATTTTTTAAGGTGCATCTAGCGAAATCTCACATTGCCAGTGCTTTTTTGTCTATTGATTGTTGCCTTTTCAGATTTAAAACAGAAAAGCAGCATGGTGGATTTTGTTTCTGAATCCAACTTCATGTCCTATATTCTAGTGCATTACTTTATTTCCTTTCTTTTTATTCTTATTTTTATAATTTAACACAGTCAAGCTGTCACAATTATTTTTCACTTGACTTCAGTGAAATAACACTGATTTCTTCGTCTGACTGAGGGAGCTGACTTAAATGTTGGCAGTACATCCACTGAGGGGTTTTTGATTTTTTTGGAATAGAAAATTTTAGACTAAATGCCATTTAGTGTTACTTGTTATCAAAACCTTATGTATACTATACTTTTCTGAGCTCTATAGTTTAAGAATGTATGTTTTAAAGAGATAATTGGGCCTAAGAACCATGTATTATCATATATAAGGTACAAATGTCTTAGTAATTTAAATTACTATAATCATTTACAGTTCTAATTCTTTCAGCTCAAATTATTGGCCTTATTGCTTATATCTGATGTATCAAATATTAGACGTATGTCTAGTAATTTATCCACCTCTATATAATTTTAACTTTGTAATTTCACTAGACTTTATTTAAAACAGCATTCTCTAGAAAATAGGGTGTGTGTGTGTGTGTGTGTGTGTGTGTGTGTGTGTGTAGAAGGAAAGAGAATGAGAGAAAGAAAGATGATTTTAAGGACTTGGCTCACCAGATTATAGGAGTTGGCAAGTCCAAAATGTGTAGGGCAGGCTGGCAGACTGGAGACCAAAGGAAGAAATGATGTTGCAGCTTAAGTCTGAAAGTAGTCTGCTGTCCGAATTCCCCCTTCGGGGATCTCAGTCTGTTTACTCTTAAGGCCTTCAACTGATTCAATGAGGCCCACCCAAATGATGGAGGCTAATCTACTTTACTGAAAGCCTACTGATGTAAATGTCCATCTCTTTTAAAAAATACCTTCATAGCAACATCCAGACTGATGTTTGACCAAATATCTGGGTACTGTGACCTAGCCAAGTTGACATAAAATTAACTATCACGCAGAATTTGTTTAAAACACAGAAGAATAGATTGCACATTGAAATTCGATTGCTTAACCCTAAATAGTTAACGTATTTTACTATTAGGAAAATCAGAAACATAGCAGAAAACAGGCAAAATCTAGAGAAGTGTGTGTTGTCTTCCAGTGAAATTTTTCTTTCAAGGTTGTGGCAGGATGATAAATGGGGGTAATTGATGTGTGTGGGAAAAGGAAGAAAGATATATTTGTGCAATTCGGAAGCAAGGAAATTGCCTTTGCAAATGGTAAACATGTATGTATGTAGTAGTTAATAGTAGAGGAGAATGTAGGAGGGAAAGTGCTCTTTTCTTTTATTCATTTTAAAAACACTTTTGAACCCTATAGAATGTGGTAAAAGACACAAAGCCATGCATGGTCTGTCCTTTTGGTGAGTTTCTAGCCTAGATGGGGAGAGAAGATGTGCACACAGATTAACATCCTGCCAGTTTAGAGAAGTACGGATGCCATCATATTCCAGCCAGGAGAGACTGGGAAGGCTTTGTGAAAAAAGTGTCTGTTGGGTTTATTTACTCAGTTTGATGACCTCTAAAGACACTAGATTAAAGATTAGGAATTTGTTTCTAATTCTGTTGTTGACTGTGATTCAGGGTTTAAGAAGACAGTAGTGCCATTATGATAGAACTTTGTAATTCGGTAGTCCCTTTCCTGATACAGAGACACTTGTGGACCTAGTCCTCTGCCCTTAAGTGGTTGAAGTTCCTCCCCCTGCTGCCCCCAGCATGCTCCCCTCCCCCCCATTCTAATGGAAGTAATTCTAGTCTCTAATAAAGCTGTAGACTCAAATGAGAGCTGATTTTCTTACTTGCTTTCTAAATTGCTTTCTCCCCTTTTTGTCTCTTCTCAGTTCCCAGTTTTACTCTGCTAAAGCTGTGCAAGTGCGCAGCATAGTGACTTGAGAACTCCATGTAGACCTAAGACTTTTATTAGTTTAACACAAAGTGGTTGCAGAATCAAATCCTTGCAGTGCTAGGACTTGACCTAGGATCCCATGAGACGTGAGATGGTGTGCCATTGTTGTTTTCCTCAAAGTCACTTTTCAGCTGTCCAAATATCAGGGATTATTTAGAGAGGAATATTGGTGAGAGTCCAGAGTGGAAATGTCCCCCCACTCCACAGCTAATTTTTGAATGTTGTGAAGACTCTATAATCCCTACCCAATCCTTGCGGAATCCATAGCCAGCTTTATGCTGGCTTTTGTACAAACCAAGACTGGTCCTTGAGCTACCCATGCGCAGATGGTTAATCTGCTTTGACAGTGTAATTCCTTCTCATCATGTGTATGTTTCCCTATTCACCTGGAATTTCCCATCTGAAAGGAAACATTTAGGTGAGCATTTCCCTGAAAAATTAGAAGACATTTAACAGGTAATGGTGCACTTTAAACCTCAGCAGGAGTCGTACCCTAGTGCTGGGGTGCTTTGGAAGGAAGCATCTCCAGACAGCTACAGCCAGGACCCTGTGGGAGGGCCTGTGCCCCCAGCTGCAGAGGACTCTATACTCACTCTCTCTCCGTTTCTCCTTGAGAATCAAGTGGGGAGGCAAAATGTTATAGGGGCGGTTGTGGAGGTCTCACTGGTGGAAGGAACTTGCAGTGGCTGAGGTACGACACATTTGTGTTTGTGGGCACGTCGCTTCCACTCTCTAAGGCTTGGTTTTCTCATGGGTTATATCAGAATCATAAAACTTTGAGTGAATCAAGTGAGTGCATGTTTTTAAGGAGTGCTCTATATGTAGCATCATGTGTAAAATAGAAATAGGGCGACCTTGCTATGGTGCTTGTGATTCATCGTTACAGCCTTGACCCCTACCATTTGAAGTGGGTCAGTACCTGCTATCACCAAAACTTGCAGGGAGCCACATTTTCGTTATCTGTTTCCCCTTGGTCCTTTGCTTGACAAATTCCATCATGGGAATTCAGGTCATCTGGAAAATTTCCAGTCAGCAGGGAGTGTTTTCCTATTGAGCTGTTCTGTAAAACTAGATGCAGCTGTCTATCAATCAAACCTCAGGCACTTTCTACTCATCAAATCATAAATAAACAATATGCTTCTTTGGACTCAAATCTAGCATCTTTAAAGTAGAAAAACATGTATTAACTTGTACATGGGAAAGCACTCTGTGTATGTGGACATAGATCCATATGACTGTCTGTGTTAATAGATAAGGCCAAAAAAAAAAAAAAATTCTCCGTCTAAACCTAAACAGAACCGAGAGCATAGAACATACCCATCAGATAATGTGATGGACATTATCATTGTGGTCTGCTTGTTTATAAGGCCAGAAGTTCCGGGTCTACTTGTTCTATTAAATAAGCAAAACATCATTGACCACTCATTATTATAAGTTTGACAGTTCATTAGAAAGCTGATAATGCTATCTTATAAAGAAAAACTGAGGCTTGTTTAGTATTCCCTAAACATTTCCGGGGATACACTAAATTTTTCTAGGTAATATTGAAAATATAATATTTTGCTTGAATGATCTTCAGAGTAGTATTGGCAGTTGCTCCTTAATATGCAGACATAGGCATATACATCAGCCATTTCTGTGCCCTACCCGAATCTACCCCACCTGAAGTCATTTTTGAAATATAGTAAGGATGTGAACAAATAAAATTTAAAAATATATTACTTCATAGAAAAATCTGCTTGAGAGAACAGAGTGTTCATAAAACAAAAGCCTACTTTTCATTGACTAGTCAACAGAAACCCATAAAATTTTTGTTTCCTTCATTCCAAGTCATTCCAATCTTCTGGAATTGGCTATGCACTTATTTTTGGTTTATAAATGCTATTATTTTGTTCATTGTTATTTGCTTACTGCTGGCATTTTGTTTCTTAGTTTGGAGAAGAGGAAGAGTTCCACCTTAAACTCTCCTATTCCCCAAGATATCAAGTGAATGTCATTTTGAGAAATAAAGAGGGTGGGAGGAAGTAGGGTTAACATTAACAGTTATTATACTGTTGGTCATTTGCTGTTTTACGTTCATATCTAAAAGAGTATGTTAAGGTCAAAACTTCTGAAACACCAGTCGGGGAGTTGGGACTTAATCGACTGCCTCTTTGGGCCTGGCCCAGCGATAACGCCTGCCCGCAAAATATATGTTGATAATGAATGCACATAAACGTGGTGGTGGGAAGACTAGCCATGGGCCAAGGGAGCTGGCTTCCAGGTCCAGCCCTGAGGATTCAGAAATCTCTCACTCGTGTAGACCTTAGCTTCTTATTTATAAATTGGAGTATTAATGTCAGTTTTTTCATACTTAAATACGTCAAGCGCAATGTCACACAAAGCCCTGCCTATCAAATAGGGAAGGGGAGTGCCTTCCCAATTGAAGGGCAGGAAGCAGACCTCAGCTTCCCCCTTGCCTATTCTTTTTTCCCAACATATCTAGGAAAAAAAAAATAAAATAACTACCGGGTCCAAATATCTGCAAGATGCCCTCAACCCTACTAATATATTGTAGTTATTCCTCTGTTGTAAATAATGTGATGCACATCTTTGTACACGAAAAGCTTTTCTGAATTTGGAATGTTTCCTTTGGGTAAATTCTCAGAAGTGGAACCGTTGGGTAGAAGGTAGTTGAACCATATTATCAGATTTCCCCAGCAGAGTCTGAGAGAGCCAGCGTTTCCATTCTTGGGAGTCTGAGTTTTGGAATCCGCCTTGTGATGGAGGAATGGACACTGGGCTCTCCTGGCAAACCAGAGACTTTGAGAGCCACATACAAAGCAGATGCTGGTGTGTCCTTAAAATCCCCTTTGCCTTCGAATAGACATATGTAGTCACTGATTAGGGAAAAATTCTCTCTGAAGAAAACCTTGTGTGCAAAGCTTATTTTTAGAGGATGGCTGTGGTGCAATTTAAATAATCATTTCAATCTCATTTCTAGTTTTATTGGTTTGGACTTTGTGTTCCATTGGGCTCATTATAAATAAAATGCTTAAGAATTTATTCCTGTATTTTTAGCAACAGAAAATTTGATGTTAAGTTCACATGGTTGTACACAGGGTTTTTCACTAAAATAGTGATTTGTATTTTGTATTTTTATGTACAGTTTACAAAAAAACTTCCTAGTCCTCCTTCTTCAATTGATATATTTTATTAAATTGGAATAAAATCTGCATCCTTGGAAATGTTAATTTCCAACATGAATTTACTTTACATATTAAATATTTAGTCATGATGTTGAGGTCGAACAGAGCTTCCTGATAAATTTGGCTTTTCTTTCTTTGATATAGATTATTCTGCATTCTATGCACAAATACCAGCCCCGAGTACACGTCATCCGTAAAGACTGTGGAGATGATCTTTCTCCCATCAAGCCTGTTCCCTCTGGGGAGGGAGTGAAGGCATTCTCCTTTCCAGAAACTGTCTTCACAACTGTCACTGCCTATCAGAATCAACAGGTATTGTTCTCAGAATTGGTATCTTCTAGACTTTTCATTGCAGGTATAAATAGGAAGTTAGTTGTCCTCACTATATCTAAATGTTATGAATTATCATAAAGCATTTGCCATATATGACATACAAAGTGTGTGTGTGTGTGTATGTATATATAGTAATAACAATTCTTTATCCATGATTCCCCAAGTAAGGTTACTCTAGTGAGGACTTCTTAAGACAAGAATATGTCTTATGACTGATAGTATAGGTTTACTTTCCATTTTGAGATATTGAATCATGAGGTCATAATTAAAATTAGAAATCATATTTACTGCCTAGGAAATAGACATGTAAAATATAAAGATGATGAATTATATTTTAGAGCATGGGATTTGGTAGCTCACCTTATTTTAAAACTACAGCCCATGAATTGTAAGAAATATTTCAGAAGCATTTATCCTGTATGATCATTTTGGTATATATACAAAAAGGGCAATTTCTTTCAAGATATGCTTTAATTGTGATAGAGGGTGATGTACATGCTCATAGTCTGAGAGATCAGCAATTGTGTAGTAATCCTTTCACGAAGTTATAAATGGGTTAAGAAGTGAACTATTTCTTTTCTGTGTGAGTAAATATATGTATTTCTTTAAGGCTGTGTCTATATGTGTCAAGTAGGTGGAGAATTGCATTGGAAGCAAGTATGTAATCTGTGCAACTCCAGCTAGTTTTCATAAGGAATAGCCATGTAATGGAGGCTGATGTGCTCTGTGGTAGATTTTTTTTTTAATTTCAGTGGTCAGCAGAATTGTTTTAGGTCTCTGCTTCTCTTTACATTTATATATATCACAGTTAAAAGTATAAGTCTTCATAATCTCTCCATTATGGTTTCTGTTGTAAAGCGTAGGAGATCTGGATCCCATCCCATGTGTTCTTTAGGGCTAGGCGGCTTAGCAGTTCCCATCTGTGTAGAGACGCCAGTCCCATGGCCGAAACCGCTTCGTCCTCTCACTCGCGTGTTGCCGCTCTTTTATACAGGCTTTTAGGAAGGAACGTGAAATATAACCGTTAGAAGGTCCAGAGATAATTAGGAAGAGATAATTAGGGACAGAAAATGATTTTTGGGGATAAAAAATAATGCATGAGGAGAAAATAGCAGAGGTGCTTAGTTCCCTTTTAACAACCCAAATTCGTCTTCTCTTTCTCTGTCATACACACACAAATTCACTGTTCTCTATGTGTATTTTCTCCTACGCTCTGTGGTACAGTAAGTGTGATGCCCTGGGCTTTTGGCACATGTTAGCGACTAATGCCAATTAGTGCACATTGATGAGTTGATTAAGATGGCAAAAAATTAGAGGGGAAATTGATAAAGATAAAATGGAATCACATTCACTTTTAATTTCCTGGCTATTATTTTTAATAACTTCTGGAAAATTGGTAAGCAGACTCACCAAGTTGTTAATAGCATGGGCTCTGCAACCTAGGGTCCCAGCCCATTTCTACTGCTGGTAGCCATATGATCTTAGGAAAATTACTTAAGCCTCAGTTTAAAAGAAAACGTGAAATTGGAGTAATAGTTACGCATAAATTATTTTGATAATTAAATTAGGATGCATAAAACTTAGCACAGCATACATGGTATGCACTCAATAAATGCAGTGATGTTAGTATAAAAATAATGATAATAGTAATAGTGATATATCTCAATTTAGACAAGGCATCATTGTATAAATCTATATTCTTTGAATAGTATTTTAAATGAATATTTAAATTATGTAATGTTATTTAAACTTTATTGAAATGAACAGAAAATTGAGCTATAATGATCTGTAGAGAAGAATTGCTTCAACTACAGAATGGCAGACATAGTGAATTAATTATCAACCCTTTCATTATATCATTTATAATGTAGTTTTATCCACATCCTAAGACAATATCATATGGAGCACATGTGTCTTAAGTGTTGCATGGCTGATTGGAGGATGGCTGAGAGTGTGCACAGGCAACACAGGGGACTGCAGATGACTTTCCAACGATGCCTTTCTTTGTCTTAGTGTTATCCGACAGTTTTCATCCTTAGCCAAGATGGTGCAATCAGAAATATGTTCATTAACTTTGTAGAGTTCATTAAGCCAAGGAATTTAGAAAGCAAAGCACGATGTGCCTCTTAGAAAATAGGCTGCAAATTCCTCTGGGCAAAGTAGAGACCTGGTAAGAAACAGATGGAATGTTATTTATTAGTGTTAAGTTCAGGATGGCATAGCTAAAATAAAAAATTTTTTAATGGCAATGATTAGACGATTCGTAACAGTTTCCCCCCCCAAATGTTGATGGTCTTAGTGGGCAAGAAGCTGATTGTGAGTCAACAAATTAGAAATCTAGTTAAAATTAAAACATTATTCAAAGAATCCGCCCGCCTTATCTATATGTATTCCATAACATCATGTTGTATACCTTAAATGTAACACAATAAAATTTATTTTAAAAAGCTAAAAAATAAAATTAAAACACCATTTATTTCTACTACATGTAGTACGTGCTTTAATATTATTGAAACCTGCAAGTAGTGGTTACCACTGGTTAGACGTTCACTGTAGTGTTCTGACCAGGTTAGGACTTCACAGATAAAAGACAAAAGAATAAAACTTTCAAATGAGAGCCACAAGGAAGATTAAAGGAGAGACAAAGAAAAAGACAGAGGTAGAAATTTAAAGGAGTGTGTATATTATTACCTAATTCTGAAGAAGACTGCCTAGGGGCTTAACAATATTCAAGCGTAAAAATAGCTGTGAAACAGAAGTTGGATATTCGTTGTTCCCCATGACCTCTATTGTGAGAGAAACAGGATTAAACCACATACTAAAGTTAAAAGGAAGAACTTCAGCTCAGAGAGGATTGTCAAACATAGAGCTAGTTATCAACTGATGATTTAGAATCTTCGTCTCTAGGAATATTAGAAGCATAACAAACTTATCTATTACATTTATGCAGATTGGAAAGGAATGGGGAAGTGTTTTTTTTTCACAGTAGGTGAATGTTCTTGATGATTTCTGAAATTTTCTTTTAGATTTACTGCTAGGATATTAAAATGCCTGGGGAATGGGAGAAAGGTAAACAATAGACTCCTCTAACAGTCAATTTAGTTCTGCAGTCATTTCTGTTTTTGAGAACCTGAGTTGACATTTGATATGATTTGTTTTTCTACTCTGCAGATTACTCGCTTGAAGATAGATAGGAATCCATTTGCCAAAGGCTTCCGAGACTCTGGACGTAACAGGTAGGTCTCAGGGAAGAACATTCTGGTTGTGATAAATATATTTGATTTTTTATTGTGAATTTTTCATTATAAAGTAAACAGATAAATTTACTGACATGGTATTGAAATCATTTCTGGTGAGGATTTAAATTTGTTAATACTATTGGGCCTCAGAGGTAACTTATTTTTGGAATGTAATGGTATAGAGTGCCCTAAGGTGAACTCTCATGCATGATGCTGAGGTGAAGATGAAAGCTTTTGGGGTGTACACGGTGTGTTGTTTCTGAAGGGGCCTTTAAGAAGCTTGCCCCTGCAGGCCCAGGGGCCTCTGTATTCCAAGTAAATATCCTTTGTTCCTCTACTATTGGTTTAGAATTACCTTAGTGATGACACAACTATCAATTGATTCTGTCTGTGGAGTGTGTTGGGGTCTCTTGTTAACTCAGATTTCCAGCTGGAATATGAAACTACTCCCCATTGCCAAGAGAGCTTATGTTCTTTAGTTTCCAGATTCGTCTTGGCTCCACTGACAGCCACACACTTGTTTATTTTTTGTGTTGTGTTTTATGGTGTTTATACTAAATGGGAAAGCTACAATAATGAATTCCACTCTATTACTTTTATCAAAAAGCAGATCACCTAGTCGGTATGCCAAAAGTTTTTGAATTTATTGATATGATTCTATTCCAATACAGTTCAGTGCAACATTTTCTAAAATAGTAGTAATAGAGAGTAATAATAGACTAACATTCCCCAAATGCTTTTTCAGGGTAAGGCTTTGATTTAAATGTTTTCAGAAGCAGCTTGTTTTTAAAAAGAAGCATTTGAGAAATTTTTATTACTTTACTCTTGAAATTATTTTAATACTCCTTGAAAACTTGGTATTAATAGACTCTGTCTACATGAAGTCAAAATGACCCTAATTATTTTTAGAAACAATTTTATTTGAAAATTCAGAGTGAGAACAATCCAGATTCTCAATTCTTTCAGTTGATTAATTGGGCAAGGTAGATGACAGAGACATTTTCTCAGAATACACTCAAGTGCTTGCAGAAACTTGATGTCTTCTTCATATGAAGTGGTGTCGTTTAAACACCATGCCACATGAGGACTAAAATGCAACTAAAATGCACTGAGAGTAGAGTAGCCTTCAACTTAGTGCAGATGAGTCAGGCTGATTCATAGTAGGGCTTCCTTCTGAAATTCTTCACTCTATAGGAAGGTTGGCAAGTATTCTTAACACATAAAAATCGTGTGCTGTATTAAAATTATTTGATGTCTTTTTAGATGTCTGTTTCAATATGGAGAAAAAATTCGCTTGGCTTTTGTTTTGTTACATTAGCTCTTGGTTAACCTTGCTTTTCAGAGATGTTTCTGAAAATTGAATGCAAATTGAATCATACTTTACTAATCAGAGTTGATCACTTAGTAAGGTGACTGAAAGGAACCTTTGGGATGACTCCTGTTCTACCTTGATAAATGCTTTGACGGAATCATTTTGTGATTTTTGTTATAGCAAAATACTATTTGTTCGTTTAAGAGTCTTGTGTTACTTTCAGGTTATTTTTTCTTAAGCAGAAAAGGAATTTATTAAAACTCAATGAAGTTTCAGGGGGGCAGTACTCAGGCTTGGAGAATATACAACCAGGAGCTATGTCCAAGCTATCGATTGCTCTAGCAAAGACTTCACTGCTACTGACCTGGGGGTCAAACTGCTTATACCCTATCAGTTCATTTTTGAAGCAAGAAATTAAAAAATATTTTTAACAGTATATTTTTGACAGTTAATGATAGTGAATGAACTTTCAACAAGAAGTGAGATGATAGATAATACTAGACCTGTTATTTGGTATGGTGAGGTCAAGAGGCTAGCTTTGGTGTGGACTTTTCTATTTCTTTGGCTGTTTTGGGAATAGGTAGGCATGGCATCCATGGTACTCGCTACTATTTCTTCCCTGATTCCAAAACTTTTAAACTTTTTAATAGACGTACAGAAGATAAATAAATTATGTTTTAACATTTTCTAAATTTTGTTAAAATTAAAAACTTTTAATTTTGCTCTAAGTGTCTAAACAATATCTTTGTACAGGTTACAGTTGTTGAGCCTATACAAAACTTTCTTGCTAGTGAAATAAAGTTTCAACATTTTTCCTCACTGAAATTATTTGTCTTGCTTATCATAGGTTAAGTTATTTACTACTCACTTTGGAATGCTAAATATCCATAAATCATTATTTTTCTTTTAAAAAAATCTGATTTTAACATTTTCCATTGATACATGCAAAAGACACACATGGAGAAGAGAGAATTGGTCAGCTTTAAGCATTTCTAATTTATGTAGTATTTTCCTTTTTTAAAAAAAGAGCCTAGGTTAAACATAAGACTTGGTGAAGGGTGGATTTTTAAAAAAATATTAATAGAGAAGAAAGCCCATGGGAAAAAATTCAATATATTTCTTTATTACCCTAGTTCTGTTGTGCTGTTGTTACTGCTTTTTAAAACAAACTATTTTTATTTCCCCCCCATACCTGAAATAAACAAATTGAGCAGGACAAGAAATAAACATGGACTTGTGATTGTTTAAACTTTATAAAACAATTTGCTTTAATTAAAAATTATCCTTTTCTGGCTATTTATGGCTCCACAGACTATTTTATAGGAATCAGTAGCTTCGGCCCTTAAAAGCTCTCCTGCAAGACATTTGCTACGTGAGAGAGAATTTATGTGCTGAGAATAGTTTCATTCTTCAGTTAGGCCTTAGGTTTGACCCTATAAAATTTTTTACTCAGGAAGGTACAAAAATTTCTTCTCTTTAAATACTTCAGGAAAAACATAACCATTTTACTAAATAAACTTGGCCATTTGATAGCATAAATTAGGGTGGTGATAAAATGTGGAAATTGTTCAAAGGCATCTTGTATAAATTATCGCCTTGGCTACACTCCTGCAGGAGGTGCCTTTTATCTTTTCTTTAACTAGACGGGAAAAGTCTCCATTACTGGAGAAAATGAAGCCTTTTTAAAAAAAGTCCAGATTCAGCTAATAAATATTTTATAACTGTTTCCTGCAAAATATCTGAAATCCTTTCTGGAACTTGCAGTGTGAAACAGCAGCCTCAGAAAAAATATCAATAGGTCCGAATCAGATCATTTGTAGATAAGTCGCCTTTAGAGCATCTCTAAAGCTTAGGGTTGTACATTTGTGATGATCAATAATTTCTCCCCAAGAATTTGGTTTGCGGATTTGTATTTGCATAATAAAGTTTACATTGATAAAGCAAATAATATAGTAATTCACATCTCTATAGTTAATAAATTTCTAAGTCCAGTGGGTGCTTGTAAATTATCTTAGTGAATTCCTCTCAAAACTGCTCCATGAGCACTTTGGTTATCTTTAATATTTAAAAGTACCATTACCGAAATTTATCTGTGTGGTAATAAAAAGCTGTGTCCTAACATTCTTTTGCATTTAAAACAATCTTGTTTCTAGAAAGTCATAAAAATTTCATATTGGTATAAACTGAAAAGAGGTTAATCAGCTGAACAGCACCCCGGGTTCATTAGTCCGGCATTGAATACAACCCACAGGCAATGTGGGGTTTGGGGATTTATCCGGCCTGCCAAACTGCCCAAGAATCAATACTTTAATGTACAGACAATATTATTGAGTGGTATGATCTTGGATTTGGCTTGTAGTTTGGCCACACATATGACGTCTGGTTTGGAAAAAAAATCACTTAGAGTGAAACAACTTTAGAGCTAGGAGGGATTTCAGAGCTTTTGTAATCCTATCCTCACTTTGTGGGAAACTGAAGTCCACAGAGATTAAGAAAGTGACTTACGGTCAGACAATGAGTTTTAGTGAGTTGTAGCCCCAGCCCAATTCTCCTGACCCCAATCTAATGTTCTTACCACTAAATAATCCTCTGTCTGTGGCACATTGCTTACGTTGGAAGCCAGATTCTGTTCTTCCCTCTCACTGAGGGCCAGGTAAAGCAGGTGCAGGTCCCCTCTGTCCCCTTTGGCAGCCCCACGCTAGCACTTATTGAGGCTGTGAATGTCTCTTTTAAGTGCGCCCAGAGCAGCACCCCCTTGAACCTGCAACTTAAGAGATGGGTCAGGTCCACATGTGGGCTGGAAGGATGTATCCATGCGTGCAAGTATGTGAATGCACACACACCACCCCTCCACATACGCACAGCTGTCTCCTTCTGTCTCTGCGGAGGCGTGCTCCTCATACAGTGAGGACAAAAATCAATAAATTAATGAAACTATAGCCTGAAACCCTACGGAAGCAAATTTTGTGTGTGAAACCTTGGAACAGAAGGACAAGTAATGTGAGATAGTTTTATGTCTACACAAATCACTTACGACTGGTGTTCAGAGAGCTGTAAGTGACTTCCTGTGGTGGTTTTCTCTAGCCTTAGTTCATAGTTCATACTTGGAGTGCAGGGGATCCGGAAGAGGTAGCACCTTGAGTTAAGCTATTAAAGATATCCTACAAGCAAAAGAGATGTTTGGGTGTTACTGGACACCCCAGGAAGCAAGCATTTCCTACAATGGAACTATAGGTTTCATGGAAAACATAATGTTATCCAGATTAACAAATTGCTTAGGGCTGAGGTGGTTGAAGGACGAGTGGTGAGGTCTCAGGTGTGCTGTCTTGAGAATGGGCTCATTGAGTGAAAGGCCTCATTCCTAGAACCTAGAGGACTTAGTCACCTGATCCAAGGAGGGAAAGACTCTGAATCACTTATGGTAAGAGGTGACTTACATATGGATTTAGAGTAGTTACCCTTGCTTTAAAATATACATATGTCATGTAAATAGTTCATAATCAACTTTTCCTGTCTCTTTAAGTATCCATTCATTAAGTGTATTTGGGGGCCTTAAAATAAATTGTGATACTACTACTAAATCCATATACCAGATAGCCTTGGGAGAACCCTGCCTGGCTGCACTGGATGTGGAGATTGTACCCCTGAGAGACAAGCCAGTTTTCTTTGCATGAGTGCTTCTCTGAGCTGGCTGCTAAGGCACTGAATTATGGGCAGAAATTCCTATTAAAAAAGAGGTGGTCTTACGGGGGCATGCTTTTCTCATAACGTCTTCCTCACCGGAGGGAGAACTAATGGGACAGGAAGAGAAGGTGGTTCCAGCTCACAGCAGAGCCTTGGACTCGCAGCAGCCAAGATAGACTCTCTTCCCCTCAGTTCATTAGTCCACATGAACAACTTCTGATCCCCTCAGCTGAGTTTTCCAAGAACATTAACAGGTGTCTTGGGTGGTTTCCATCCTTTTGTGTTCCTGGTGACAGAATGGTGGCCCATCCTCCTGCCTGTGCTCCTAATCTGCCAGTGTAGGGGTACTGTCAATACCAGTGTTGTTTGCCAAGATGCTTATTACTGGTGGAAGCTCCAAATGCTCCTAACTAGACTTCTTTTGTCCACCCCAATCCTCACCCTTCCCTTTAGAATGGGTTTGGAAGCCCTGGTGGAGTCATATGCATTCTGGCGACCTTCACTACGGACTCTCACCTTTGAAGATATCCCTGGAATTCCCAAGCAAGGTAACTCATAAGTCTCCTAGGTCATAGTCATATATACATCCAGTTCCTGCCTATAAGCTCAGGTGTTGAAAATGCACAAGTCATTATTTACACCTACAATGGCGACCTCATCACCAACATCCTCTTACTACAGAATCCATCTGTTTTTTCTATGTTATGGGGATGGACCAGGAAAAATGGTTGTTGTGGTCATAGGTTAAATCTTGGATGTTTTAGGCTGTCTGTATATTTCATGGCCTTGACCTCATCCTTAAATCTTATATTAAAATTAGAGGTGGAACTGCGGGCTCCAGTGCCAGGTACACTTCCCAAGAAATTGCTGATGCTGGTCTCAGTCCACCCTTTCTTGACACTGCTTTCTTCTCTTTCCTTCAGCAGCGTTGCCTCTGGGCAGGGTTCTCCTGTTGGGTTAATGATGAGATGGTCAGGCACACTCAGACATACCTCCCCGGGCTCATCGCTGAACATCCCCCACCAGCCAGGGCTTGTGTCTCCTCAGAGGGAGCTTCACAGAAAGGGATGGTGCCTCCGCTCTGGTCTGCTAAGTTAGTGGGACTCTCAGTTCACTCCTAGAGTCAGGCTCCTCACCACGAGCCTGCCTAGCTCCCAGTGAGAAGTTAGCATGCTGGGTTTTAGGTGATTACCTCTGGTTGGATTGGGCTTTTAGATTATTTTGAGAAGCCATGTAAAACACCATTGCTAGAGCAATGAAGGTTTTACAGCCTGTCTAGCCTTTTGGAATTCTCCTCTCCACTTAGTTCTGTGAGGTTTGCAAACATCAATCTGCCGGCAAATCCAGAAGGGGAGAGTCAACCACCATCACTGTCACTGGTGGGACGCAGAGTTAACCACCCTCTCTAAGTTTCACAGGACTCTTTATTTGCTGTCCCTCTGCTTTTGTGTCAGTTGGCTGGAAATGAGATTTTTGAAGTACTACACTATTGCCTTACTACAATAGACGAAATCTTCATGGTACAGTCCACTGATGTACACAAGCTTTCAGTGAGATGTTGCAGATATATTTGAGGCAATGTTTTTATCTTTGACCAATTTGGTTCTTACCTTTGAGTTACTTCTTTTTCCTTGCAAGAAATATATTGATCCAGAGCAAGTTTTGCTAAAAGAGTAAAAGGTGGGTAGAAGAGACATGACGGTTACACTTTTGAAACAAGATAACAGTAAGATGAAATTTATATTTTATGAAGTTGCTTGTAAAGTCAATATTTGTAATATTTATCATAGTAAATAAGAAAACTTTGAGAAAGCTAATTGAGGCAGAAAAATGAAAATTCCAAGTGATATTGTCCTATTATCTTCTGTAAAAAAAAAAAAAAAAATTCCCTGGGGAGATAATTTGCCTTAAAAATATTGACAGAATCTTTATTTAAATTATTTCAATATGAATTCAACTAAATTATGAATTCCTTGAAAGCTGAGACCATCTCCTTTTCCTCTTTATACCATCCCCTATCCCTGCCTTGTAACAAGCTCATTGCAAGCTTATGTCTAGCTCACATTTACAAGATTGAAAAGAAAAGATGGCCACGGGGTCGTTCTTTACATATGAACTTCTTTTGTAGGCAATGCGAGTTCCTCCACCTTACTCCAAAGTTCTGGGAATGGCGTTCCCGCCACCCACCCTCACCTTTTGTCTGGCTCCTCTTGCTCCTCTCCAGCCTTCCATCTGGGGCCCAACACCAGCCAACTGTGCAGTCTGGCTCCGGCTGACTATTCCGCCTGTGCCCGCTCGGGCCTCGCCCTCAACCGGTACAGCACGTCCTTGGCCGAGACCTACAACAGGCTCACCAACCAGACCGGCGAGACCTTCGCCCCGCCCAGGACTCCCTCCTATGTGGGTGTGAGCAGCAGCACGTCTGTGAACATGTCCGTGGGTGGTACTGATGGGGACACCTTCAGCTGCCCGCAGACCAGCTTGTCCATGCAGATTTCGGGGATGTCCCCCCAGCTCCAGTATATCATGCCTTCACCCTCCAGCAACGCCTTTGCTACTAACCAGACCCATCAGGGTTCCTATAACACTTTCAGGTTACACAGCCCCTGTGCCTTGTATGGATATAACTTCTCCACCTCCCCTAAACTGGCTGCCAGTCCTGAGAAAATTGTTTCTTCCCAAGGAAGTTTCTTGGGGTCTTCACCGAGTGGGACCATGACCGATCGGCAGATGTTGCCCCCTGTGGAAGGAGTGCACCTGCTTAGCAGTGGGGGTCAGCAGAGTTTCTTTGACTCTAGGACCCTAGGAAGCTTAACTCTGTCATCATCTCAAGTGTCTGCACATATGGTCTGATGAAGTCTTTAAGTTAAATTACATTTGAATCTGTCTAATGTATTTTCTTTCTTCTTTTTCTTTTTTTTTTAAAAAGCAATATGGAAAGAAGCTATCTGTAGCTTGTAAAATGTACATATAATAGAAAATGAAGGCTCACTAAGTTTTTTGACCTCATGGCGAGATTGTAATTATCTATGGTATAGATGTATACTGTATATACAAAGCATGTGGAATGTTGCCGCCTCTATTTTTCCCCCAGTTCATCCAGTTGCACAGTTTTGGCGTACATGTGGTATGTTTAACCAAAGTTCCCAGACTCTTTTAAAAACAAAATGGTAAACTTAAAACCTGGCAACGATACTCACCAGACGAAGACTTATAAACTTAATTTATCAGGAAAATGCTCTGAACAGTTTCATACTTGAGTGTTGATAACCAGCGGTGACCAGCAGATAGTCCTGTGATTTCTGTTGTCCTTGGACACAGTGTGAGAACCTAAACATACAAAAGCCAGTTAAAGTCTTAGTATTAGCTCTGAGGTATTTGTAATCATGAAGGATTAGCTTTTTCGTTCCTGCTGCTTCTTATTTACCACAGATATTATATGACCTTGTGTCTTTAAAAATACATAACCCATAATAATTATTTCCTTAAGGAAGGTAGAGGAGAGACTCGTGATTTTTTTTTTTTTTTCGTTTGGGCATGTAAGAGGTACTTATTTATCTGCAGAGAATACATTTCCAGTATTTTGGATTTGGGGCTCATTTTATTTAGTTTATCAAATAGGCCATTAAAGAATGTCCTATAAAGATTTTTAAATTCAGACTCGCACCAGGGAAGGAATATATGATACGAGTGGAATGGCAAAAAAAAATAAATCCACCTCAAATTCTTTGATTCCAATGAGAAATGTATATCTTTTTAAACCAAGAGGAATAATATTGTCACCTATCCCTTAGGTTTTTATATAGTTTTGTTTTTCATTTAAGATATTTTTTTCCATCTTGCTTTGACCTTCTTGACCCATGCTGTATAAGTAAGGAAAAATGCATTTATGCTATTTATTTATGTCTTGTAACTCCTACAAATTGAAAACCTCCCTCCTCCTTAACCTTGTCCCTCTGTCTGAGTCGTTCCCCAAGCAGCTAGGTCCTAGCCTTTATGGTATTAAATAACTCAGCAAGGAATTTCAAGAGGTTGTCTCCAGCTATCTGTCTTCTGGGGTTGCAGTGCAAAGGCCAAAGCCCATTACTCTATGAAGGCCCTTTTGGTGTACTGAGGAGGAAGATACCAATTATGATAAAAGAACTGTAAAACTTTTAACCTCAACAGCATTTTTAACCTTGGAACTGGAGAATGAATACAGCATTATATTTTTTTAAATCTCTAAAGTAAGGTATACATGGTTGAAGAGTAAAAAACAAGTAACTTTGGTAGCACATTACGAGATAAATAGAAAAGACTAAAAATACATTGATGAGGAGCCTTACTGTCCTGATGAGAAAGTAAAATGATGTATCTGCATGTTGACTCATTACATTTCGTATGTTTGTCAAGCAAAAAGAAATGTGATTTCCCTTCTTTGCTAAACAGAATTTCTTTAACTCATTCCTAATTTAGGTGGGGAACAAGTATAGCTCCTGATCTGCTTCTTTACTTTAAAACAGCACAACTGTTAGAAATCTAGGGGGATATACTGTTTGAACAGAATTTGCACAGGATGTGATTCTGTTTAGTAGATACTGACTAATTTCCTCTTAGATTCTGTAGCAGTTCATCAAATTAGCACTGATTTTTACATTGAAAATTAACAGGAATGGACATGAAATATTTGCAACAGGTATGTCTATGAAAGATGGTTGAGTATGGTATTAATAGCCTGACGAAGATTTGAGAAAAGGCTTTGAGAATGAGTGCTTGGTATAATTCAAGGGGAACAGAGAGTCTCCCATCTTAAAGCATGGAAAGTAATGCTCTATACCTTAGGTATTAATAAGGAGAGTGTTTCACTTTTTGCTTTTGGTAACTTGAGATGACATCTATATGCGTAGAATTTTTTATTAATCTTTTTTTGGTAAAATTTAGCAATATTGTACAAATGCTGTTTCCTTTAGGTTTTACTGTAAATATTAATCACCATGTCACTTCAAAGACTAGCCTTTTAATGTTGTATTAAATGACATACATACATTGATAATTATAATTATATATCTGTATTTTATTAAAAATGCTTAAGAAATTATATTAAAGTGTGTTATTAAACCTTTTTATGATTTTGGAGGATAATCATTTTAAGTATCCATAAATATTTTTCCAAGAATTAGCACACACGTGCATACCCCAAACACAAATTCTGTAGCTCTCAATTACAAGGCAGGTTGAAATGGGCCTGCTGTTCATTTTTCATGTGTTAAATATAATTTCTTGGTGTGTTGACCATGTCATTGAAGGTGAAGGCCCTGACAAATGTTTAACACATGAAAATTTGAATGTGCAAGGAAGAGGGCGAGTGGTATGTTTTGTTTTAAGTCCAAGGGAGAAAGGCAAGGATACAAGAATGAGCTGCTTGCACCACTGACCAGTGATGACAGATGACTTCTATGCCCCTTGACTAGTAAACATTCCAAGGGACATCGTGATGGGGTGAGGTTGCTGCTATCAAGACCAGTCACATTTTGAAAATTAACACTTGCTTCCATACAAGCTCCCTCCCAGAGGTCAACAGCTTTTCACAAGTGGAGCACCCAGTTGCTGACCCTTGATTTCTGGAATGTAGGGGGTCAGGAGACCTTGGTGGCCCCCAGAGGAGGTTGGAGCACAGTGTATCCTATATAGGGAAGGATCACACTCACTCTTTTTTTTGTTGTTTGTTTTTGTTTTTGAAGTTTTTTTTTTTTTTTTTTTTTTTTTTTTTAAATTTTTTTTTTTTTTTTTTTTTTTATTTCAGCATATTATGGGGGTAAAGATGTTTAGGTTACGTATGTTGCCCTTGCCCCCCCCCTCAAGTCCGAGTTTCAAATATGTCCATCCCACACTCACTCTTTACTTAGCAAAATTTTGAGCAAAAGGAACCTCACTTTTAAAATGTAAATAGCCCTTCATCACCCCCCAGACATAAACCCATCGGAAACTCAAACCTTAGTGTTCAATCAATAAACAGCTTTGGAGATAGCTGGAGGTTTGATTAGGAGAAAAAAGTAATTTTTGTAACAGGGCAATTCTAGAAAGATTTGGGTGAGGGCTGGGTAGGTACAAGAAGAGATATCCCTAACTAAACTGCAGATTCCTATGAAGTCCTGGTGCAGAACCATTAAAAATAATCATGTCATCAGCTTCTTTCAGGAGAGTGGTAGAGTTGGTGGATGCTATGCTCATGCTCTCTCTAATTAGGTTTGTAAAGAATCCTTTATTTCCAAGTGTAACACAGTGTTGGATTTCCTCATGGGGAATTTATTGGGTCATCTACATGAAGGTATTCCTAAGCTTTCCATTGGGAATTAGATAGTGTTATTAAATTCTTACCATGTATTTTAATTGCATTGTTCATCCTTTCTGAAAATAAGTTCTCAGATAAGTTGAGAGTGAGGTTGAATATGTGAGCAGTTAAGTAGACATACAGCATTCTAGAAACTCAAAGCTTAAAAATTAACATTATCAGTGACAGAAATGAGCAAATAATATATATTCAAGTATAGAAACATTCAATAGATGTATAAACTTAGTATCCCTCTCTATTATAGATTTTAAAACTTTTTATGGAATTTTGGTATGGTTAGAATATCATTACCTTGAGAATTAGGGAACTTGGTTTCAAACTATGGATTTTTCAATCATAATGTTGGACAAAAACTTAACCATTTTAGGTCTCGGTTTTCTCATGTGTGAAATGAGTGGCTAGAATGAGAATTGTTACTATTCCTTTTAGTTTCAAATTCACATGATCCTAGTATGTAAATATTAGCTTAATATTAGGAAACTAGTTTTACAAAACTAATATCTTTTGGAATGTATGTCTATTTATTTTTGGATATATATACAGTTTCTGTATCTTTACAAGGAACATAACATTACCAGGATTATTTTCAATTTGTTGGATTATATAGAATTTATCTTTTAAATGGAACTACTCTTCAGTTATATAGGACAAATTTTAGTATTTCAATATTTGAAAGGTAATGTAATATATTTTCTACTTTATAGTGCATATTAAAATGTATTAATAAAATTTCCTTTTCATGATGCTCTTAATTGCATAGCATAAAATTATTTTGGAATAAGCATGACAATCTAATATTAATCTAATATAATATCTAGAGATCATTCCACATCCATTCAAACATTTAAATCCTCAATAAAACCCTTGAACTTGTCTTTTTGAAGGGTTTTATTGATGCTGAGACTCAGACACATAAAATAATATGAAGCAGTTTATTACTCCGCACTTCTCTGAGTTTATACAGGGCTGGATCAACATGCACATCCTATGTCCATGTTTTAAATCATATTAATCAGGTCACTAGGATAACTTAATAAAGCCAAGACATTTTTCTAAATAACAACTATATTGAGATATAATTCACATACCATATAAGTCACTTATTTGAAATGAACAATTCAATGGTTTTTAATATATTCACAGAGTTGTGCAACCATCACCATAATCAATTTCAGAACATTTTAATCACCCTGCAAAAAACTCCACGCCCATTAACTCTCACCCTCCTCTTCCCTCCACTCCTTCCTTACCCCCCAAATCCTAGGCAACCACTAATCTACTTTCTCTCTGTAGGTTTTCCTAGTCTGGACATCTCATGACATGGAATCATACAATATGTGGTCCTTTGTGGTAGGCTTCTTTCCTGCTTACCAGGGATGTGTGAGGATTCTGCTTTCCCCACATCCTCACCAACAATTGTCATTATCAGTCTTTTTGGTTATTGCCAGCCTAATGGGCATGAAGTGACGTCTCAGTGTGGTTTTGATTTGCATTTCCCTGATTATTAATTATGTTGAACGTCTTTTTCTGTGCTTTATTGGCCAATTGTATTAATATATCTTCTTTGGAGAAATGTTTATTCAGAACCTTTGCCCATTTTTTAATTGGGTTTTTTTTTATTACTGAGGTGTATAAATTCTTTATATATTCTAGATACACATCTCTTATCAGATATATTATTTGCAAATATTTTCTCCCATTCTGAGGGCTATCTTAGTCATCTTGATGTTGTCTTGCAGCACAAAA